TGCCAGTTAGCAAAAGTCTTTCTGTAATTAAATCATTGTGTGTGGTACAGCCACCAGACCTAAGAATTGGGCCAATTGAGAGAAAAGAGAGGAACACATACAGGCCTCCCAGAATGTTTTATGCCTATCCGCCGCCCTTGTTCAGTTTAAATAAAGTGTTGTTTTAAAAGTTGGGTTGTTCTATGTTCTTTTTCATGTCCTTTGGTGTTAAACTAGGGGGTTGGAGGGGATACCCTTATTGTGTTATGTATGCATTTTGATGACCTGTCTCTCATTGTCCCTCATGGTTTGGCTCTCTTTGCTGCCTATTTTCAATAAAGAGCATCTTCCTTGAATAGAAAATGTCAGACTCCATATCTTCTTCTTCTGGCCTCTATTAGCCAGCATTATATCTGTCAGCTTTACTGGACATTCATAATCACTCTTCATCCTTTTAATTTGTGTCATAACTGCTTAATAACAATTTTTAAGGTGTTCATTTAATTTTATTAAAAACCATTAATATACCCATTTTAAACCACTCAAAAACACTTTAGAATGGTGATCTTGTTGTAAAGTGGTACCAGGTTTATGTACATCAATAAAACTAGATGTTACAAAACACAGGCACATCTTTAATTGTGTTAAAGTTTATGGAGACATAAGAACTAGCCTCGTTGACCGGACATGCATATGCCTAGATCTGAATAAGCTGAATAATGCTCCTTCTTGTCTTCTGCCACCAGATGGCAGCAAAGCTCCACAGATGGCTGCATTTATCGTCACAAAAGGTCAACACTTTTACACACAGTACAGAAGGAGCAGAGGTGCAGAATGTGCTGTGGCGCAGAACAGACACAGACATGTAAGAGGTTTACATCATACCTTTTTCTCACTGTGCTCTTTTCAACATATATGTTTAATCTCACTCTGACATTCATTATCACTGACTTATTGATCCCCACGATTTACACACATGAAGGAAACAGCCTTTAATTTTGGGGCAAATTGTGTCTGCTTATGAAAACATCTGAGGGAAATATGAATTACTGTGAAATGGCTGTGTTTCAAAGCCCTGTCGTATGTGAACACTGAACTGTCGTATGTGAACACTGAACTGTTCAATCTTCTGTTACCTTCAGGAAACATGAGTTTTGTTGCCCACTAAAATACCCGACCGATAAATCTTCACATGTGGTTAGAAACAAACTTCTAAATATCTTTAGTCAAATGACGTGTTGTTGGAAGGAATGAAATAAAATGAAATAAAATACAAAAAATGTTCCATAACTTTTGAACGGGCCACCTTTTTAGTTTTATTTTGTTGTCCAGTGTGTTAAATTTAGCAAAGACGCAGTGATCGTGCATTAAGTGTGTTCTCTGTAGAGGATGTGTTCACTTATTTTCACTTAGAAAATCAACAACTCGTCATTTGACCTGAAGTGCCCAAGTCTTTCTGTAATTAAATCATATTCACATACGCTGAATACCTACTGATAATGATAGAAACTGCAGACACAGTCATTTGTGGAAACTCTTGCTATTGTTCTAATGCTTTAAAACCAGTAGGGTTGTTAAGACAAGATTTCTCACATCTCAAATGTGTCAGTGTTGCTTGATTAGTAGGAAGGAACTGTTTTGAGGCATTCTGGGATACAGAGAGAGTCTGAGTCGAGCCTCAAGTCCTTAGTAGAGAATTTCAGTCTTGATATTAGCTGCACCTGAAACGACTTTTAATACCGAGTCTTTCGTTCACCTTCAGACTGAAGGACAGAACTCAAGCACTACATGCAGTAAACATGATGCTTAAAATGAAGAAGCAAAACAATCTTGCTTAGTCTGTACTTTGTAAGTATATTTGCTAGCTGTTAATTCAGCTGAAGTTGTGAAATGTTTTTAGATGAATTTGATCTGCAAGTTTACTAAAACTTAATGAGTTTTAAGTCTCAAATCCAAGTCAAGTTATGATTCAGGTGAACGTGTCTGAGTTATTAGTCAGGTCAACATGCAGCTTGGCTTCAACTTGAGTCAGAGTCACTGACTCAACTCCAATCTCAGCAGAGGGTCTTTCTCACTGCAGCAGGACTATGACTTTAATTATAACAGTAAAGCAAGTAGAAAGTTTTTGAAGGCCAAAAAGTGGAGTGGATGCTGTGTCACTCTGTGAAACTGTGCCACTGTCCATGTTGCAGTGTAGGCCTCTGTGGCACCTCCCACCTCATTCTTATATTTTGCATTATTTTGGCTTAAGGTTTTATGTCATTTCAGCTGCAGTGTCAGTATTTGCTACCACTGTACTGAGGTCCTACAAACAAAGTACATCTAAGGCACAGTCACAGGGCAGAAGGTATGAGTTACAAGACATAATTGACTCCCGACTCAGGTATTAGGATGCTGGCCGTCTAGTATTTAACCCTTACATGGTAAGGGCCCTCCAGCAGGCCCAAAGTTTTACTACACACTTCTAAAACCTAAGAATAGCTCAGCCAGTTTGCATTGAAGTCCCTGTAGTTACTGAATAATAAACCTTAGTATGTGTTTTTAAGGGGTTAAAAAGATTTTAAGCTATATTGTCCAATTTAGGAACTGATTTACAATCTATGATTTAATGGCTGATTATTATTATTATTATTATTATTATAAGTATGTGTATTCTTTGCATTGCTACAAACAAATGTACACAATCAGACAATGACGTAATGTTTGCCATTGCAAGTATCTAGGAGATCACCTGTGAGAGCGACTAACTGTTCTCACTTCATCGGCTCTCTTGGGTATCAGTCCAATCAGAGGTGTTAAAGACGTTACACAATTTATTGTCTTCATGCTGTCATCATGCTGTCCATCTGAAACTGAAGCATTAATGTCTGCCTTAATGACAGGTATCATGTGTATTACTTCTTAAGAGTAGAAACTTTAGGCCTCTTCTACCCAAACCATACATGAGAGTAATAGTTAATAGTAATAGTTACAACATTACAATTTATTGCACTCTAAATGTTATCATCCTAATAAAATAATTTTTTATACAGTTTTATGGAAAATTATGCTACTCAATCTAGCATCTAGTGTAAAAAGGATGAAACACACCTAGGTGCAATTCAAAGGATAACCTTCATCTGTTTAAAATTGATATTTCATTTGATTTAAAACTGGAGAAATATATTCTGATCAGACTGAACTAGTGCATGTTGATGATAATGGGAATTTCCAGAAGGATCTCTTTGTTTACTGAGTACTAACTAATGGGTCATTGCACTATAATAAAAAACTATAATAATCATAAACTAGAACAGTATTTATGAGACATTCGTAAGTAATGAAAACAATAGTTGGCAAAAGAATGTATTTACATTGCAAATAACCTTCTCTTTTCTTTTTTTCTAATTTTCTAACTCAACTTTCCACCACTAGGTGGCACTAATTTTAGACCCACAAAAGGCCCCAGATTTCTTTATGCCTCTGTTTTTTCAGCCACCCCAAATTGTCCCAAACTGAAGTCGTGTCTCCATTATGTACACTTAATGTATTTAAGGAAATGCATAATGCAAAGAGAAACAATAAGGAAGGGCTATAATTAGTGTTAACATCAAATCAATAGCCATGTTTTTAAAAGGATGTCTGCACTTAATTTCCTTATTTGACTCACACTGAGCTACATGGTGATGAAATCTAAGGTACATTCATAGAGTGTCTCATCTAAAGGTGTCTCCCTGAATAGTTTGTAGAGAATAAAGAAACACTGCTTCTGTACATTAGAATGTAGTCCTCCCTGTTTCTGTTCAAAAGAAGAAGAGTGCCATACTATAGATTAAACACAGCAGGGTCCAAAAGTCCAAAAAATCTGGGATTTTCTTATAATCTTGGAAATAAACAACAGAAAATGTAAGAATTTTGAAAAATATATGCCAGGTAAAATGAAGAATTGTTTGAAATTCTGCACTATTTCTAAGTCATTTTTCAAATTCAAGCAAATTTGTGAAATTGACCATGTTTCTTTGTATGAAAGGTCTTTGTACAAAAAGCTCAGGCTTTTTCTCTTTTTTTCCTCTGAAGCGTTCAGATGGTTCTGAGGTGGATTTGATCTGCTGATCAGGGGTTTTTACACCAACTTGTGGAGGCCGTGCCATCTTGAGTGCACTGTCATTAAAGCAAAAGGGGGACAAACCATCAGATACTTACTACATAATACTGACATTTGCACCCCACTGTACATTTTGCTTCAAGAGATCTTTTTACATCATTGCAATGTAATGCAATGTAATGTGTTTCACTCTAATGGCCTACATCCTGCAGTTTAAGCTAATTTTATTTACATTAATTGACAAAAAGTCTTAACAATGTAAAGGCAAATAGGCTATTCAAGGGCTGCCTGTTATAGACAAAGTAGACACAGTATAGATGGACGCATAAAAGCAGGCTGTATCTGTACTACAAGCCAGAATACCTTTTTCTGAGCATCAGTAGGTCACAAAATGTCACTTAAATACTTTTTTTACACATATATGTACAGCACACCACAGCATGTTCCAGTGCACTATAGTAACTTCATGAAACTTACTGTATTTTAACCATATATTAAAACCAGTGCAACATCATATGTAATAGCTTTTCTCCAGCACAAATCTATTGATCACAAAGTCCAACTGTGTTACTGTCAATATCTCAGTTCAAAAAACAGTATTAGACTGGAATATTTAATGTATTTCATGTATCCACACACTTCATGTATGGAAAATGCCCTTACAACAGAGTGATAATGAACCATATTCAGTTGGTAAACTAGGAATCCATATCCCTAACTCTTTTTCTCTCTGTTCTCTTTCTTTTTCAACAAAAGAACTGACTTCCATCACAAGCAGGATCGCAAAATGACACAACTGCTTTCCAAAGACATGATTAAATCTAGTCCTGCACTAAAATACACTCTTACTGGTCATTCCAGTTGAGCCCAGGCTTAAAATGTGTCTAGAAAACAAGCCCTGAACAAACTTACTGAAGGCTGTTTGGCATCACTCTGATCATGAGTACAGCTGTATTCTGCAACTATTTCTGTTAAAAACCTCCCCACTGATGATGATCTGCAAAGCTTTTCTGAACCAAGGATACAGAAACGCATAAATGAAGGGATTCAGAGCAGAGTTCAAATATCCGAACCAAACCAGGGCATCGATTAACGCTGGCGGTATACTGAAGTCAATGAAAGGGTCCATAATATTGCAGAGGAAAAAGGGGGTCCAGCAGATTAGGAAAACTCCAACCACAACAGCGAGAGTCATTGTACCCTTCCGTGTGCGATACCTGAACTCCCCCGGCCTGTGGCTGGCCATCCTCAGCTGATTGGTCAAGAAGTCAATGGACCTCGCTTGCCCTCTAGCAACGACGTAGATTCTGGAGTAGATGCCGAACATGATCAAGCCGGGGATGAAGAAGGAGACCATCGAGGTGACCACGGCCGAACCCCGGCTGAAGAACACGTGGCAGCCACCCACACAGCGCACGTGGGAGTTGTAGAAGGCCTCAGCACCTTTGAGGTTGAGCTCGCTGAAGACCATGGTGTAGGCAAACACAGCAGAGATGAACCAGCTGGCGGTGACCATGCACAAGACGGTGGTGGAGCGAACGCGTGAGCGGTACGTCAGGGGGCTGCACACGGCGCAAAAGCGTTCAGCCGACACGCACATGAGATGAAAGATGGAGGCCGTGCTCAGCATTATGTCCATGCCCGTGTGCAGCTTGCACGTGATGTCCGCAAGGTACCAGCAGCCATGTACGGAACGCAGGGCACTCAGAGGCATGACGAAAATGCCCAGCAGCAAGTCACACATGGCCAGAGAGAGGATGAGGTGGTTGGTCGGCGTGTGGAGCTGCTTGAAGTGTGCTATAGAAAGTATGACAAGAAGGTTCCCTGTAACTGTCACCAAGATGGTAATTGCCATGGTGATGAACATAAAAATCTGGACGTCGAGAGATCTCAGGATTCTCCGGCAGGATCCGTTGATGGAGTCATAACAGAAGAGTGTGTCTGAGGGATCATGCACACTGAAGACCGAGAAGTTTAGGTAGTCCATTATGGTCTGTCCTGACAAAAGAGAAACCACAAATCAGCGAAAAAACCAAGTTAACTACACGTACATTAATAGTTATTATTTACAGAAATTAGGACTCACATTTAACATGTAATTACACACCAGTCTTCTAGCTTGTGAGGTCCAATGAATTGGCACTAGTTTGTCTGAAAGAGTTCCTGTTTTCAGCTGCAGAAGACTGCATGAATTTCCTCTGGGAATGTATAAATATTGCTGTCCTTGGAGTTAAGATGTATTCCATAAATGGGTTATGTCCAAAAAAGGACAGAACTCTTGTCTAGGGTTCAAGAGAGCCTCCAGGGAAATTGCGGAAGAGTATGAGGCCCTTTCTATATGAATTTAAAATAAACAACTGCCCAGTGAATTGCATGTCCCTTCTCCTGTCCCTCTCTCTTCCTGACTAAATCTGATACTGACTGGCTCTGGCACCATCAGTCAAATATATCACTATAAAAAAGTTCATTGATTATTTCCCTCATCGTTTTTCTCCCCCATCACGTTTGTGTACGTGCAAGTAATCATGCCTCAGACGTGGTGCCTTGTTCCTTATAACATGTTGCTTGTGTACACTTCATCCGAGTGAATCTGATTCTTCCAAACAGTGCAAACATCTCTGCGAAACCTGGCAATCATCTGTACAGGCCGCTGCCCTGGGAACAGGGCCAGTACAGGATCACAAGGTACGCAAACATGCGTGCACAATGAGACACAGATGTTTAATGTTGACACTCGAATGGCCAGATACTGATACAAAGGCCCAGATTCATTTGGTTACATTTTACACTGTATGACTAGGTGCAATATCTCAAATAACAAGTTATTTTAGTGCAGAAAACAATGTATATGTTTCTACAGCTCATGATTACATATTGCGTCACGTTTCTTTTAATCTGACGTGTGAATCTGTACTTTAAAACAAATCTGGGGAAAAAGGTAAACAGGCTGATGGAAAAACTACACCCTTATCTTTACTTTAGCCATCCATTTCTAAGCCATATTATTTAAACGCGCTGCCGCTACCTGCCGTATTTGATTGCGGCTATTTGTGCTTGGATTTGTTCAATTGATAACTACCACCCTGCAAATGTTTGCATGTACCTCAGGTAGAGTATAAAACAGTATATGGATAAGTGCATAGAGACCTTTATGTAGTAGAGAAATTTGTTGCATTAAAAGGTCCTTTCGAAGACTAAAGTAAAAAGGACAGTGACGCACTGGAAATCTAGAAGGAAGCTTGATCAGTGGCCAACTGGTACAACAGCCCAAAACAGGTAAAAGGGTCCACTACCTACTTTCTGAGTTAGGCCTGGGACCAGAATATGAACGTGTAGTCATTCAGTGAGCATGTGTTCATTTTCATAAACATCTGTTTGTGTTCTTTTCCTAAGGGTCTCAAGGAAACATGTGCAAGAATACCCACAACCAATTATGTGCCTTTCTAGCCACACGAGGGAAAATATTTCAGTTTGATTGGCTTAAAGTGACTATGGTCTACACAGCACTAGCCAAATCTCTCTCTTTCTATACATATATATAGATATGTTTTAGACCAGTGTTTGGCCAGAATGCAACAAGCCAGTCTGAGGTAAGTTAACAAACAACTGTACTGAAAATGCTGTAGAACATAAAAAATTGTCTATTTATTTATGTATTTATTTTTGACTTCGTTGTTGCGCAGTCATTGCTGTAATTGATGATGCCCCCTTTTCAAACCCTTATGTCATATATAACTTGAGTGATGAATGTATGTATGCTTTTTTGTCTTTACTGTGATTGCAAATGGGTCAAAATGATGCAGAACTGTTCCAAGACCAACCATCAGTGGTAATATTTTTGGTAATGTTTCCAGGTGATGATCTATCTACACAAGTAATGTCTTTACAATATATGCTGTAAAAATGATTTTTTTTTTTTATTGTAACTTTTTTTTCTTTGGTCAAACCAAAGTTTGTCCTCAGATCCATCCTAATCTGTGTTTTGGTTGTTGTAAACTTTCAGTGCCCTTAAACTTGTAAGGCGGGTTATTTACTCATTTAATTTGCACTGTCATTATAATGTATATGCAACTAAAGATTATACAAGACTTCACTTCCACAGTGTTCAATCTACATCTGAACCAGATGAAAACAATTCAATTTGATCAACATTGTGCTGCTTTCTTTCCATCTTTAGGTTGTTTATTGTCACAATGAACTCAAGCCTTCCAGGACTGGTTGAGGCGGTGACCCTGTGTTTCGAGTCTCTGAACGGATCATGCCCACGGGTGGTTTACTCCTCAGCCTTGCGCGTTCCCCTGTACCTTCTCTTTGCTCTGATAGTTCTCCTGATAGTGAGTGGAAACCTGTTGGTTATCTGCATCATAGTGTTCTCCCAGCACATGCAGACGGCCACTAATTACCTCATCCTCTCCCTGTCCATAGCCGGGCTTCTCCTGGGTGGACTCGTGATGCCGCCCAGCATGGTGCGCTCTCTGGAGACCTGCTGGTACTTTGGTGAATTCTTCTGTGAATTCCACTCCACCGCTGACATTATCCTGTGCAATACCACAGTGTGGCACCTCACATTCATTTCCATTGACCGCTACCTGGCCATATGCCATCCAATGCACTACCAGAACAGAGTGTCCAACAGGCTCTGCTTTGCCATGGTAGTGTCCAGTTGGTTTCTCTCCTCAATTTTTGGCTTTGCCATCACACTTTCACATCCAGACGTTAAAACCAAGGACAGTTCACACAAGCCTTGTGCTGGGGGATGTTTCGCTCTGCATGCCAAAGAAATCGGGGTGGAATATTCAATTGTTTTCTTTTTCATACCTGTGTCTATAATAGTCACCGTTTACACTAGGATTTTTTTTGTAGCACAAAGACATGCCAAGGTCATTCATAGTTATACCCATAACCCCAGAGGCTATGCATCACCAGCTGCTAAAGATCTAAAAGCCACTAAGACACTTGCTATAGTCATTGGAAATTTTCTTTTCTGCTGGACCCCATTTTTCATGTGCAATATTATAGACCCTATAGTAAACCATTCAATACCATCACTTTTGTATGAAGTGCTGATGTGGTTTGCTTACATGAACTCAATGTTTAATCCCTTAATATATGCCTTTTTTTACAGCTGGTTCAGAGAAACCACTAAGGTTTTATTGAACAACCTATTCAAGCAGTAATGTGCTGTTCCCTGCATACACTTCTGTGTTTCAATACCTTTTTATGTCTGTGTATGTACTGAAGCACTACTTACATGTGACTGTAGACCAGTAGAGGGTCCTTCACTCATAGGCTGAATGTTATATGTCTTCTTTAAATGTTTGGTAGATTAATTTATGGCAGTAATAAACCAAGACGAATTACACACATTGCACAAAGCATCTAAGAGGCCCTTTTGCTTATGGCCAGAGGTATAAACCACCTGTTTTGGGTCAGAGGTTAGCTGACTACCATGTACTCTGTGCAAATCACATTTGTCTCCACTTAACTTGATGATTTTAATATAAAAGCATATATAAACACTATGCGCAAACCTATACACTGTATGTATTGCTAAATAATACACTGAGCAGTGACTTGATTAAATACACATCCCATATTCATTACACAAAAGAGAATGCTTTAGACAGCAGGCAGTCTTCCTTATTTACTTAAGGAAAGTGTTTTAATTTCCTCTCCCCATGTTATGTGTAACGCTTCAGATTCCATGTGAGGATGTAGTTTTAAACGCATTTAAGCAAATCTATGACAACGAAGAGGATGTTTCTAAACAATTACACAACCCTCTTTCACAACATAACCTGTATGATTTGTACCAATCTTGTTTTAGAGCTATCCACAGCACTGAAACTGCATGGTGAAAGTAGGAAATGAAATTAAAATTATTTAAATTTTTTAGACTTGAATGCAACTTTTGATACTATTGATCATGACCCCTTAAAGAACAGACTGAAACATTTAATTGGCATCCATCGCTCAGTTCTTGGCCAGTTTTATTTGTTTTTAAAAGACAGAACTTTTCCAGTGTCTGTTAGTAACTTAAAATCTGACAAAATCAAAAACTGATGTGGAGTTCTTCAAGGGTCAGCACTGGGTCCACTGCTGTTTAGCTTGTATATCGTCCACTTTACTTTCCATCTCCATTTTAATCTTTCTTTATTTTTTTTGCATAATTTGAAAACTCCAGTTACCCTTTGTATTGTGTTAAAATTTCAGGATGAATGGACCGACAGATATGGTTCATAATTTCTTGGAAAAAAATCTTATTATATTGACGTCCATTACAAGTTAAGAATGCTTTTTCATTCTACTGTAAAGTTACTCTTTTGGAGATATAAGGTTTTGCTTGGTACCATCACACAAAAATACATCATATACTGTCACTCAAATACTGATGATGCTCACTTATATATCTTTATCCCCTGATGTCATGTTAGCCAAATGCCTGGACAGAATCAGTTCAAGGAGGTCTCATTATTTTGTACTGTTAAACAAAGACAAGGCCGAGCAGAAAATACAAATTCAGTGTCACTGCCTTCAAGGCAGAGTGAGCAGGTCAGACACCTAGGAGAATTTTATGAATGCTGACCTAAAGTTTCAGGACCATATTACAAATGTCAATAAGGCAGCATGTTATCATTTAAAGAACATCTGAACCATGCATTAACATAAAGTACATTAGATTACTGTAATGCTCCTCTGGGCTCCATTATAATACTACATTAGAATATTACAGCGTGTACGTAGTATGTAGCATGACGGCCTCATTGGTGCCCCTATAGACTCTAAACCTTTATACTATAAACTGAGGCCTGTCTGGCTTTGACTTTATGGTCTGTTGTTTCTGCAGCTCAGCAAGTCTGGCTTTCTCTTTGTACCTTTTCATGATAGCGCTAACGAGGTTTTTTTTTTGTGGGCAGTGCAACTGTTTGTCTTACAGAGAAGAAAGATCAAGGCCAGATAAGAGAAAGGAAAAAGCAATTTAGCTTCACTAAATCAACATTACATTAATACAGGCAAGCAGACGGGAAGTGAGGAAGCAAGAAAGTTAGTGAAGGCAGGGCCCAACCACACCATCTGGAGCCATCCCCTGTAGGCCTGTGCTGTTAAAGTGCAAAAGTGTGTTGTGAATCACACTCGTTGTTTTAATGACTGTTTTAGGAATGCTTATAGCAGCATTGTAGACAACAAGTCACTGTTGTGATTCCCTGATGAAGGCTTGTTGCCAAAATGTGAGTTTTTAAAGGTTTAATATGACCATACCATGATAATAAAGGCTCCTTAATTGATTTTAAAAAGAGAGTGCCTTGGAGTTTTCCTGTTTTTTTCATGCGTATGCTCATCCTATGCAAAGAGCACCAAACTAGAACAAACTAGATTTGAATCCAGGAAGCGCTCCTGTCCAAACAACTTTGTAAATTGCTTTTAAATAGAAGAGTCTGTTAAATGCAGATGTAGGGGAGAGCTTAACTCTAGAATACTAGTTACACTGACTCCTGACTGTAGTTTAAGTGAGGAAATCACCTATATGTCACTGACACAATGAGACAGATGACCAATTAAAGGAAAATAAAAACAACTTAATGTCTCATAGTAAGGTGTTGGGCCACCATGAGCCACCAAAACAGCTTCAGTGCTCCTTGCTATAGACCAGGGGTGCACAACTCTGATCCTGGAGGACTGGTGTCCAGCACAGTTTGGAGGTTTCCCTATTCAAAACACACTAAACTTAATAAGTGTAATCAAGTGTGTGTGATGATGGTGGTGGAAAGTGCTGTGTAACACAATGGTCTGAAATCTCCTTTAGGTGTTCAACTGGTTGAGATCTGGTGACTGGGAGAGCCATAGCATATAATTTACATCATGTTCATAGTGATCAAACCGTTCAATGACCCCTATTATGGGGCACTGACCACTCCCATCAGGATAGAAACATTTCATCCCACAATAAAGGTGATTAGTCAGAATAATGTTGTATTGATTTGCAGTGACCTTCTCTCTAAGGAATCAAATTGACTCAAACCATGTGAGCAAAATGCTACCCATAGCATAACAGAGCCACTGGACCCCCTCACTGTAGAGGTCAAGCATTCAGGCCTGTCCTGTTCTCTCAACGTATACTACATATCTGACCTGTTCACTATTTCTTATCTCAGTGCTGATGGTTTATGCACCACTGGACTCTCAAATGAACACTGGTCTTTATAATTAGGGTGCAGCCCTACTATAATATCCCTCCCTGATCTTGCTGACAGTCTGATCACTTCTTGCACTGACATTCTCAGTCACCTGAGAAACAGCTGCTCTTCTGTTTTTGCTCACATATCATACTAATGCACAAGCCACACAGTTACTGAAACACTGGCCAGGTGAGTAGTCTTTGTGAGTGATGGCTCCTGCCATCCGTACCCCAATAGTGACATCGACATTACGCAGCAGCTCCCTAGACTTCTCGCTAAGCACTCAAAAGTTAAAAATGCATTTTACCAACTCGTTCCAGTGATTGGATCACCATTCAGCTACCGGGAAAATCCGCTTTTAGCTACAGTGCACCAGTGAGCTGGAATCTCTACAGCTATGCTCACTGGGGTAACGTTCTAAAACCTTTAGTCTCTAACCTCCCCCACTCAGCCTGACACTGTTTTACTTGATTTTAGTTAACTTTTAGTTTTCAAATGACTTTTTTCAGTATGTTTTTATTTAATGTTTTTTTTTATTATGTTCTTATTTATTTTAATGTTGCCAAGCTATAGTTCTACATCTTTTATTTCTTTATTTATTAATTTAATGATATTTTTTATTCACCCTTATTTTATCTTTTTCTTAAGTTACTATATTGTTGTAATTTTAATAGTTTATTGATTTTTTTATTATTTACAACTATGATTATCATTACTTTTTAGCATTTTTTATGTTTTTACTATTTAACTTCTCAATCCCTGATCTCTGTGTTGGCTCAGCTGCATTGTAAATGAGGGTCTCCATCAGTAAGATCATTTCCTCAAAATCGTGGTCAGCTGGGCCTGCTCTGCTTTTTGTACAAGCCACACACCATCTTAGGATGTTAATAGCCCGTTTGCATCATGCAGTACGCCTGTCTGAAAGCATCTACACTCGTTATCTTTGTTCACTTGTTCATTTATGTAAGTTTTTCTGTAATTTCTTATCTGCCTACATGTTGTCGGGATGAAATTATAATGTTTCACAAAGTGCAGTGAGATTTTTTTGTCTAACATTTCTTTCACAGGGCACCTAAAAGCAGTCTTTGCAGAGGGTATAGTGTATAGCCCACACAGTAAATTAACATATAAAACGCAGGTATAGTGACCTAGCAATGTTTAGATTGATTCAGTGGGATATTATTCTTTTAAGTGGGTTAACATTAATCATGTCTTAGCTTTCTTGTGTCACTGTTTCATGTGCCTGCCTGAAGTTATAAGCTCACTTTTAGTGTCAGTGAGCTTATGTGCCTGAAACTTGGTGTCTCTGCCGACCTTTTTCTGTTTTCTGTGTGTATGGTGGGGCTTCAGCACCAATGCAAAGAAAGTTCTATTCACCATGATGTAAAGCACGCTTAATCCAATACAGCTGACAGAGGGTGTAACTTTACATAAGTTTCATATGAGGGATACTTTAGTTTTAGTCTGGTGCTCTATTTAACCATGCCAATGTGGAGCTGTTATCTTGGAGTACTTCTATGTGAGTGGGTAACATTATGTAACATAATGTGTTTTTAAAGTGGGAGGGCTGTAGCTGAATATATGAATTTCTCTTACAGCCGTGGTGTAAGGTCAAACTGATATGATTTACAGTGGAAATGAATCAGTTGAATGAGGTTCACTGTAGTGGGGAACATTCAAAAGAAAAGTCCTGAATGGCTCCATGAATAAAAGTGGACAGCACTGACATGCTGACAAGGGGAAGTTTCTAACAGATACTAATGCTTCAAGACCTTACACTGTGATGACAGAGAAAAATATAAAAATATAAAAATATAAAAATACACCGTGCAAAGGCAGAGGTAAACACACATTAACTGAATGTTTAGGAACTTGATTTAACAACACAGTCAAAGCAAAGAGAATTTATTTAAATACAATACATCCCTAACAAATATTTTTTTTTACAAGTTTCTTAATGCGTTCTTTACCATCTTTCTGAATTTAGCAGGTATAATTATACCAATCAGGACTTGTTGAAATTGCAAGCACCTCAGTTTGATGACATACTACAAGACAACATGGTAAATATTGATACTGGTACATTTTAGTTACAGTACTTATGCCTTTAAAATAATTTAGTGCGTGATGAGTTAGTCTGGAATATTCCACCAGAGAGAATGACTCTGAACGCATGTCTAAACCAGCTGTAGAAGAAGGCGTATACGATAGGATTACACGTGGAGTTGAAGTACCCAACCCAGAGGAACACATCGAACAGCAAAGGTGGCACTGAGTATCCAGTGAATGGGTCAATGGCATTACAAAGGAAAAATGGGACCCAGAATGACAGAAAGACCCCCATGATGATGGCTAAAGTTTTTGTGGCCTTCTTCTCCGACTTGCTCATGTTGGCTCTCTCCTCTGCTGTTTTCATGTGGGCGTTAGTACTGTGGATCGCACGTGCTTGCCGTTGTGCAGTGTGCAGTATTTTCACATATACACTGAGTATGATTACAGCGGGGATGTAAAAGCAAAGTGCTGAAAACACAACCCCACCCACTTTAGCTTGAAACACCATACAGGCACCCTCACAGGCAAAGTTATTGTAGTAAAAATCTTCATTGCCCAGAATGTTGAGCTCCAGAAAAATCATTCCAAATCCCACTACAACAGAGATGCTCCAACAAACAGCGATCATGACCTTGGTAGTATTAGGGGTCATTTTACTGTGGTACAGAAGGGGGTGACAGACTGCATAATATCGATCTAAAGAGATTATACACAGGTTTAGAATGGATGCAGTGCACACTGTGACATCAAGGCTGCTGTGAATTTTACAGAACAAATTCCCCAAATACCAGCAAGTCTCCACAGAGCGTATCATGCTAGGAGGCATCACCACCCCCCCTACAAGCAGGTCAGCTACAGCCAGAGAGAGAATGAGGTAGTTAGTTGGTGTGTGCAGCTGCTTGAAATGAATGACAGTTACGATCACCAGAAGGTTTCCGATCACTGTGAGGACAGATGAGACACTGAAGAGCATATAGAGCAAAACACGGAATTCCAGAGGATAATTCAACTTCAGACAAGAACTGTTAAGAGAATCAAAACAAAGTGGAGGCTTCTCCAAGATGCCATTTTGGTCAAAATTGATAGTGTTGTCCATCTACAGCGTGCACACTGCCGTCCTGCTCTGAGACAAGTGAATGAAAGGTTAGATGGACACTCTGATGTCAAGCAGGACATTGTTTCAACACAAGGCGCTAAATAGATCGTTAGTTCAATCAACATGAATACTGCCAAGTAGCCAGCATAAAAACTGACTGCACTGACTGCTCTTTCCAGTTGTTCAGAAGACTCATTTACATCTGTTGATCTAGAACATCAAATTGTCAATACATCAATATTGTTTGTATGAAATTCTTAAAAACTGTAAGTAAATTTCACACATACAGCAATTCCAACTATTTCCTTCACAGTGTAATAAAATAATACATCTACAAATGGAAAACTGACATAAGTATCAGCCGAGCTTCATACCTCTTCCTGTGCCATGTAGTTTAGCCAGGTGGGAGAGAGGAATGCCCCAATTTATTGTCAAGCTTAGCCAATAGCAGCAGCCTTCACATTCAAAGCAGTCCACTTGAGCTCCCTGGTTACGTTCCCAGTGGGCAACCAAGGTTGTCTTGAAAAAAAAAATAAAAATACCATCCACTCCTGAAGTCATACAGTTCTACTTAGACAATAATGCATTCATGTGTTTTATTGACCAGTATTCGTCACTGGCAACACATCAATACAGACAGTATACTGTCCAGATAGACCCCATGTGGCAAGCACAAGGCCCGCGGACCAAGTCAGGCCCGTGACACTGTCCTATTTGGCCCACAAAATTATTTGAATTTTCTATTGTTATTAGCCTGTTTCACCCTGAGATGCACTACAGTCCCCAGCATGCACTGCAACATAGTGTGTGTTCTGACCCCCTTCCCCCAACAACAATCTATGGGCCAGAGGTTACACAAAAAGAAAAGATGCCTGTTTTGGCAGTTTGAATAAACAATGGCCCGTTTGAGTCGTAGCAAAATATGAACTAAAAATTAAACAAAAATAGAGCCGGCCCACAGATTTGCTGAGATTTTTTAATATGGCCCTTTTGGTGGTTGAGTTTGACTCCCCTGAGATAGAGTGTGATCATGACAACTCATTTATACATTATACAGACGACAGTTTATTATATTATGAAAAAGCAATGAACCATGTCCAAACTGAGAACCCATTTCCTAGATGATGCTAACTGTCTAACTATATGTCACTAGAACCACATAACACGCGAGTTGGATATTGACTCGTGACTCGAGTTGCTTGGACTGCAGACTAAAGACTCAGTCTGGGGGGAAACACATGAACAAAATGTATTAAATTTATACTGTCAACTGTAACAGTGGGGTCCAAAAAAGGCTGAAATCACATTTAAAATTACAGATTCTTTACATATAAACTCAAAAAACAAAAAAAGTTTGAGTTTAAAACAAAGAAAACTTGACAAGTATAATGAACAAAAAATATACTGATCCTGCACTATTTATAGGTTACTATTTAAATTGAAGCAAATTTGTGACACTGACCATGTTAAGGTAATATTTTTGACTCTATCGCTTTTACACTAGTAGACCCTACTGTAATGTACATCTAAGCCTATTAATTTTGCAGCTCGTGATCAGGTCCAGGTGATAAAATGCTTCCTCGCATGGTTTGATGCTTCTTCCCTCTGATGTATAACTGTTGTACTATGTAGTTCTTTAAATAACCATTTAAAAATGGTTCTATATAGCACCAAAAAAGGTTCTGCTATTGTTCAAGTCAGAGAACCTTTTTTGCTAAGAGTGAAAGGGTTACAAATGAATAACCTGCAGACATTTAGCACACCTGAATGGTTTGCTTTTTCAGATTACAATAAAAATGTCAGGTGAACAAGCAAACAGCCAGGGCTATCCCAGACAGAAGGCTTTAATGTAGGCCATAATTCAAGGCTGTACCCTGTACAGTGTGCATCGCAGGGTACTCCTTAAAAAAATCCTGTTTTATAGGCTTTTACTCATACAGAAGCAAGGATAGCTAGCTGCAGTTGGGGAGGGGCTGAGAAGAGAACTGTTAAGTCAAACTGACCTTGTGAGCCACCAGCTCGCGTTTACCTATCAGATTTTAATTTCTCTGAAAAATTATCAAACTGTTAAAAAAAAAAAACAGAAGAGACAGAATAGGACAAATTAGATGCTTGCTTGACCACAACCCCCAACTCCCCCTATACACCAGACTGTCCGGTTTTGCCATGACTGAAATTTGGCCATCCAACCTGGTTGTCTTTTGCTTACTTCAAATGCCAACTGAAGACCCATCCTTTTTTTCTCCCCAATCCATTAAAAATGTTTGTGCTGAAACATGAGCCCTAATCTACTGTAGTGGTTCCTGGTCCCTGAGGCCCACTGCCCTGCACAGTTTAGTGTTTTCCCTAAGATGCACTTCAACTCAGTAAGGGATTGTTAATGAGCTGATCAGTTGGATTAATTATGTTGGGAACAGACGGAACACTAAAATGTGCAGAGCAGTGCACCTACAGAACCAGGGTTGGGAACCACTGATCCACAGTATGCCTGCAGATCTCCAGTTTAACTTGGAAAACCATGAAGTCATACTTATCCTGTTTATACACATATTATATGATTTCCTAACTCATAAGTGAAAAGTAGCTTTGGCCAGAAAATGAGCTGTAGTGATGCACATTTGTCAGAGAACAAAAAGAAATGAAAGAATGACGCCTCTCTGTTTTGATTTTGTTTAATTCACACAACATTAAGCAGAGGAAAGCCCTAATGTAATACAAAGGTATTTATCTCTTTATATGGGAAAACAAGAGACATTCTCAAACCACCTATTAAACAGATTCTAGCCTGCACAGAAAAAGACAAAGAGACAGGAAGGAACAGTTCACAGAAGGGCAAGAACTAAGAACATCACTCCTAAACTTGTCATATTTTTTGAGGACCTGCTATGAGATTGTATTATATGTAGGCCTAAATTGGCTTAGTGACATTTAAGTTTGGTTGGCGAGCACACAAAAGCTTCATCACCCTAAGCTTCATCACTGTTGCGCCTTTGCCCTTTTTTCCTGTGCAAACAAGTTGCGAATAAGCAAACTAATTTTGTGTGTTAAAGTTGTAGATGCAGTTGAAATACCTTAACATTTCGTTATGTTGTAACTCATGACATACCACCTCCTTGACACTCTAGTATACTAATTCTGCATTGAAACATATATTTTATACATTTTTAATTGACAGTAAAACAATGCTTGTAATCTGTACTACACTATTTGCTAAGTCTGTAGTTCCGTGTCTAAGGTGGAAACAGACAGTGTTTGTTTTTTTTATCAGTAAGTCTGATCAAACCACATACAATTACAATTATATTAAGTGTGAAGGATTAAAACGTTGGACAGTGCAATATAATATATATAATATAAGAGAAGCTATCTGTTCTGAAGAAATCTATTCTGATGATAACTTTAATCTTGAAGAGTTTTGCTTAAATATTTTACCAAAGACAATAACTTTGAGTGCCCTTCTAAACCACTGGTAAAAGAATGCATATACAATAGGATTACATGCTGAATTTGAATAACCAATCCAACTCAGCAGTTCAAACAATTGAGGGGGACCGATATAACCAGAGACAGGAATAATAATGCTATAGAAAAAAATTGGTGCATAAAACAGTAAGAAAACTCCCATGACTACTGCTAATGTCTTAGTGGCTTTTCTCTCAGACTTGCTGATGCTTGTATTCTCCTTGCGTGTTTTCGTTTGTTGTGCATTGTGTATTGAACGTGATTGTCTCTGTGCAACGAGATATATCTTCAGATACATACAAAGCATGATTATAGCAGGTGTGTAAAAATAGAACAGTGAAGCTGTGAGGCTTGCCATGGGTGCTAGCGAGATCACACAGAGTCCTTTGCAGGCCACGTTGTCCTGGTAAGACTTGTCGTCCTTACTGAGAGGTGGAAACATTATTACCAGTGCTGGAGCAGCAGAAAAACTCCAACAAACAACGATCATGACTAGAGTAGCAGCAGGGGTTATCTTACTGTGGTACAGCAGGGGGTGACATACAGCATAGTATCGATCAATGGAGATAAACACAAGATTCATAAGAGATACAGTGCACAACGAAATGTCAAGGCTGCTGTGTATTTTACAGAATAAACTCCCCAAATACCAGCAAGTCTCCACAGAGCGTATCATGCTAGGAGGCATCACAACCCCTCCTACAAGCAGGTCAGCTACAGCCAGAGACAGGGTGAGGTAGTTAGTTGGTGTGTGCAGCTGCTTGAAATGAGTTATGGCTATGATCACCAGAAGATTTCCAAATAATGTAAGAAGTACAATGACACCAATGGCAAAATATATGATCACTCGCACAGCCAGCGGATAGATGAACCTCTGACAGGAGTTAGGATGATGTTCATAACAAAGAGAAATGTTTCTTAAGCTCCCATTTTGACTTATGCTCATGTCCATTATGCTTTTCTTCTTTATCTGTAAAGAAATACGTTTTATAAGTATGTAAGAAGTGCTTTCAATAAAACTATTCAAGGCAGTGATTAATTAGACATTGCTGAAAAGGATTCACTTCAAATAGCATGAAAGCACGAAATGATACTTCTGGAATTATTTCCTAATTGTTTTTGAGACACATTAAAATCGTAGAAGCTTTATCATGCATGGATAGTATATGAATGCTATGCAACTGTTATACTTAAGAACAAGCAGATATTCAATATTTTCTCTTTTTTTCCATTTGCGGTTAATGATTTCAGTATCCAGCCTTACCAGTGCTTGTGTAGGGGCAGCAAAGCCAGCTCAGACAAAGGAGCAACTTTCATTTATAGGCTGACAGACCTGCATCAGGAACGCCCTTCTGCTGAATCACTCCTATATCCTGATCCCTTGATAGACTATTATAATTACCAAATACAAATCAAAATAAGTTCACCCAGACAGATTACAAGCTGTTAAAATGATAGTGCTACATAGAAAAATCCTTCTTACTGAAATATTACTAAACCAAGAAAACAGGAAAGAGGAAAGGAAATGTATATAACTGAAACATGTATTAGCATTAGGACATTACACTAGAAAAAGCAAGTACGCACTGCCTGATTACATCTCATTTTATTTCAATAATATCTGCAATATTCAGTAGCACCAGCAAAACCGTTATTGTTTTATTCATGTATGGTAGCTACACTATTTTCTTTTTTTTTATAGCTACACTACGTTCAGTCAAAATAGTATTTGTTAGGTCAGGCACTGATGTTGGACGAGAGGGCCTGGGTTGCTGTTAACGTTCCAGTTCATCCCAACAGTGCTCAGTGTTGTTGAGGGAAGGGCTCTGTGCACTCCTCCACATCATACTCTTTAAACCATGTCTTTATGGAGCTTGCTTTGTGCACAGTCCCCCAAACTGTCACCACAAAACATATAATTGCTTGATTTTGTACACACATCATCTAAACCGCTTATCCTTCTGGGTCGCGGTGGGGTGCTGGAGCCTATCCCAGCTGTCATTGGGCCGAAGGCAGGATACACCCTGGATGGGTCGCCAGTCCATGACAGACAGACATACACATTCACACCTAGGGGCAATTTAGCAAGTCCAATTGGCTTAACTGCATGTCTTTGGAAACCGGAGTACCCGGAGGAAACCCATGCAGACACGGGGAGAACAGGCAAACTCCACACAGAAATGACCCTGGTCACCCGGCCGGGAATCAAACCCAGGCCATTCTTGCCGTGAGGCGACAGCGCTACCCACTGCGCCACCGCACTGCCGGATTTTGTACACCTTTTGGGTGAACATATTCTTTTGGTGGTTTTAAAATAAATCTTCCAGAGAAGACTTTGCTACACTCAGGGCTGTTTCCAAACATTTAGAGGCCCACACCTACAGAGTCTGTCGGCCCTTCACGCTGACTACACATATTCTGTAGGGTCCCTCAAATTACATAAAGGCCCCAGTTTCCCACTTCAGTCAGTCCCTCTCAGTTGGATCTAATCTGCTCATCAGAGGATTTGCCAAAAGGTTCTACTTCCCACTCTAAAAATTCACTGATAATATAATGGATAATGAACACATTTGTATTATGCTGGAAAACAATGCAAAACAGATGCATTTATACTAGCAGACCCCAGTGTACCTGTGCATCTAAGCCTATTAATTTTGCAGCTGCTGATCAGGTTCAGGTGGTCAAATGGTTCCTTGTATGGTTAAATGCTTTTTCCCTTTGATGTAAAACCTGTTGTTCTTCAAATAACCCTTTAAAGAGCAAGAGGGTTACAAATGCAGTAAAATGAATTTTACAGCACACCTAAATGTTCTGTACAATAAAAGTACAATAAAAATGTCAGGTGAACAAACAAACAGCCAGGGCTATCCCAGACAGAAGGCTTTAACGTAGGCCATAATTCAACTCTGTATTTGTACAGTAGGGGTGCACAACTCCAGTTCTGGAGGGCCAGTGTCCAGCACAGTTTGGTGATTTACCTACTCAGATACACCTGATTGCACTTATTGCTAAAAATAAGGGCTAGAGTTGTGCACCCCTGTTGTAAAGTGTGCATTTCAGTCTTACTCCTGTAATTGAATTTCACATTTTGAAAATAACAACCACAAACAAATGAGCTGATCAGCTGGATCAAGTGTGTTAGGAACAGGAAGTGGGTTCAGCCTCCTCTCACATGCTCTAATGTACTCTACAGCGAGGCCCTCTGCCCTGCACAGTTTAGTGCTGTCCTTGCTTTAACAGATCCACTTCAGCTCAGTGAGGGGTTGTCAATGAGCTGATCAGTTGGATAAAGTATTTTGGGAACAGGGAGAACACCAAAACGTATAGAGCAGTGCGCCTCTCGGACCAGGGTTGGGAAACACTGATCTACAGTACGCCAGAGTACTTTCAGATCACCAGTTTAACTTGGAAAACCATGAAATCATACTTATATAATGTCTGTATATACATACCATGTTATTATAACTCAGAAATTAAAACAGCCTTTAGATGAGTGATTTATTTACAAGAACAGATGTTAGGTGTATTTGTTAGAGGACGTTTGAAGAAATGACTCCTGTCTGTTTTGGAACAGCTGGTTAATTTTATTTAATTCATGTGGTATTATGCAGAGTATAGCTCTAATGTACCACAAAAGTATTTAGCTCTCTTTTCAGGGGGAAACAGGAGACATTATTAGACCACCTACCTCATCATAACAAACTGATTCTAGCCTGCACAGAAAAACAGAAAGACAGGAAGGAACATTTTCACAGAAGGACAAAAACTGTCACATGCCCAATTGTTTGTAGAATATTGTGGTCTGGTCATGCAAGTGGTCAGTGTAAAAAGGGTACAATGTGAAATCTCTACCCTCCTCAGATGTTGTGACCTCCTGTGTTTCCCCCTTCCTGTGTTTCATGTTGGGGTTAGTGCTAGGCTGGGCATTTCTTGCTACTGTTGAAGCCCCTGTTCAAAATAAAAGAGCAGTTGTCTGTATGCAAATTGTTTTCAGCATTTTCTTCTATACCAAGGCTACATTGGTCTCAGAGTGGGGAGATGGCCGCCGAGTTGGAAGAAGTACACATGGCCCAGAGTAAAGAGATGCCTGCCCCCTTTCCAGATAGTACCAGCCAACAGAGAGCAAGGCAGCTGGCTAGGAATTACCACTCTTCAACATTGAAGATGCCCGGGAGCCATACTCCACTCAGCTGCAAATGGTCACCTGGCTGGATGGTGGCTATCACCTCAACCTGGCTGTGTTTGGCACTGGAAGGGAAAGCACCATGAGGAGTTGACTGATGAGCTGTTGATGCTGGCGCCAGCTCATGTGCGCTCCCTAGAGGCTCTGGGGTGCTCTCCAAAACACCAGGTAGCACTGTTGACATTTATGGTGGCTCTAGGGTGCACTACAGAACACCAGGTGGTGCTGTCTATGTGGACAGTTCTGTAGTGCTCTTTAGAACACCAGGTGGCACTGCTGATGCTCATATGTCCATCTTGTAGAGCTTTGCTTGACTCAACAAAGGAATCTGTGTAGCTGTAGTCATTTGTGGGACAATGTGTGTGTCAGTGTATCATTTCGACAGAAGCAATAGCAACTAATCAAACACAGCTAGGAAGCAAGATGGCTAATCAGTTTGGCCACGTTAGGCTTGTACTTTAATAGCTGCATTTAAGTCAACAAGGAAAGACAAATCACTAATCACAATTAATTATATGACAATTGATCATCAGCTAATATTTCATGACAGTGACAGCCCTAGTTTGAATGCGCTGTTCGTGCTAACGGTGGTTTAAAGCCAGAAGTGGTTCTTCACTGCCTAAACATCCCTAAAATGAATAGCCCTAATAATATGACATTTTCAGACATTTTATGACCTTATTTTTTTCTATATGAAGACTTTATAAGACTTTTTAAGGATTGCTTAAAGGCCACATTTTCCACTAGTGAGAGCAAAGCCAACTGGGCTCTTGTGAAGTCCTGGTTGTGAATTGAACTCCAGAGTTCCAGAGATAGGACACAGACTTCTCAGCATCTTACCACAGGCACTTTAATTGAATGCATTCAGATGGCTTGTTGATGTGACTTTAACTCAAAGACGATACTGTAAAAGTCTTATCATTATTTAATGATTAATTAAGTAACAAATCAGGTGTGTTACAGCAGCTGCAGGAACACACAACACTAATGCAGGTGAATTACAGCACTGGTAAAAAAAGGCACCATAGACCAGCATGCATTCTATGATTTGTGCTGGTCTGGTGCTGGTTTAGCTGGTCATGTTGGTTAACTAGCATACCAGCAACCAAATCACAACATATGCTGGTTCAGCTGGTGACCAGGCATGCTGGTCTATGCTGTTTTTTCTAGCATGGAGGACTGGAGCTAAACACTTAGGTTTGACTGAAAAAATTGAGGCTGTACAAATTGTAATAGTCAGTAATGGGCTCTCAAATAAAATTAAGTCTAAAATAGAATTATAAAAAAGAATGAGAATACAACCACTTACACCAAGAGTGTGCAATCAAAACTCACATGTATATGTAGCAAATTTAGGACAAAAAAGGACATCTAAGAACATAAAAATTTAATACTTCTGTTACAGATGTTCTCACCCAAAAAATGAAGAGGAACGTCACATCACCTACATAAAGATAGCATAAAGTTACAAGGTACAAAACATATCACACAGGTCGGTCCTGACAGCTCTTCTTAGGCAAAGATCGGGTGTCAGAAAGAAAAAGTCTCAGAACACAGCTTAAGAAAATGGGTGCTGTGCTGTATTGAAAATAATAATTACGAGTCCTGGTGATTGTGGATGTTCTTTATTCTACTCTGAACACAGCTTCATTCTTGAAGAGCTGTTTTTAAATATTTGACCTAACAAAATAACTCTGAGTGCCTTTCTAAACCACTTGTAGAAGAATGCATATATAATAGGATTGCAAGCTGAATTTAAATAAGCAATCCAACCAAGCGCATCAAACAGTTGTGGTGGACCACTAAAACCAAAAAATGTCACAGTAAGATTACAGATAGAAAATGGTGCCCAAAATGACAGAAACCCTCCCATGACAATGACTAATGTTTTAGTTGCTTTTCTCTCTGACTTACTAATGGCTGGTTGTCCACTGGATGAGTTTATTTGAGAAACAGTTTGGACGACTAAGTGTGATTGTTTCCGTGCAACAAGATATATTTTCAGATATATGCTTAGCATGATAACAGTGGGGAGATACAAAGAAGACACTGAAATTGCTAAACGTATCATGGGTTCTAAAACCAGCACACAGGCTCCTGCACATAAAACATCATCATAAGCTTTCATGCTCAGAACATTTAGCTCTGGAAATATAATTCCCACAACAGCAGCAAGACTCCAACAAACAGTGATCATGAACAGAGTAGCAAGAGGAGTCATTTTACTGTGGTACTGCAGGGGGTGACATACTGCATAATATCGTTCAATTGAAATAAATACAAGATTTAAAACAGATGCCGTGCATAATGTCATGTCAAGGCTGCTGTGCATTTTACAGAACAAATTCCCCAAATACCAGCAAGTCTCCACAGAGCGTATCATGCTAGGAGGCATGACAATCCCTCCTACAAGCAGGTCAGCTACAGCCAGAGAGAGAGTGAGGTAGTTAGTTGGTGTGTGCAGCTGCTTGAAATGAGTTATGGATATGATCACCAGAAGATTTCCAAATAATGTGAGAAGTACAATGACACTAATTACACAATATATAATAACTCGCATGGCCTGTGGATAGATGAACTTCTGACAGGAGTTAGGATGATGTTCATAACAAAGAGAAATGTTTCTTATGCTCCCATTTTGACTTATGCTCATGTCCATTATGCTTTTTTTCCTTTATCTGTAAAGAAATATGCCTTTAAGAAGTGGTTTCTATAAACATTAACTATTTAAGGCAGTAATTAAATAAACACCGCTGAAAAGGATTCACTTCAAATAGCATGAAAACATAAAAATCATAATTTCAGAAGTATTTCCTAATTGTTTTTGAGACGCATTAAAAACTGTAAAAAGCTTAATATACATGAGAGGTTTATGAATGCTATGTAACTTTTCAGTATCCAGCTTTACCAATGCTTGTATATGGGGGGCAAAGCCAGCTCTGATGAAAGAGCAGCTTTCATTTATAGGCTGACAGACCTGCATCAGGAACGCCCTTCTGCTAAATCACTCCTATTTCCTGATCCCTTAATAATCTAAGCGATAGTTGCCAAATATGAATCAAAATAAACTTTGCCATGATTTGGGCCCTTTAAGAATACAAAATAAAATTATAAACAATGTAGTGTAATAATCACTCAACATGTTAGCGCTAGTTTATTACACTATACTCTTTTTGGAGCAGGATTCAGACTGAAGTTGGGGGCTGGATCAGGGTTGGTAGTACAAGGAGCCAAAGCTGAATGTGGCCTATGGAGAAAACCAATGGGTGAGCCTTAAAACAGTTTTCAAAAACTCACCTTATGAGTAGACTGTAGAATTTCAGGCAGAATAGGAGTCTTGGAGGCCACACTTGCTGGAGATTCAGAGACTGAAAGAGCAGGAAATCTGAGCCTAACTTAGTGCCCACATTCAGCAGGGCAGCATCATTCAGAGGTGCAGGGGAAATTCATTCAAAGATACATCTGAGGTTTTGCAAAAACAGACAGTGCATTTGGAGATGGTGTGGTATTCTGTATTAACATAGGCCTTGGAGACAGTATCAGTGCGTCGCTTACACTTCAACATGTTCTAATTTACCTATGTCTGCTGTGCTTTCAAGCATGTTTTAAGTTGTAGCCAAACTGTGCATTGTCCCCTCAAAAACTGCCAATAAATCAGATTCACAATCAAATTTATGTCATAATCAACCAAAACTTAACACTGCAGAACTATAACTTATTTTGCTTTTTAAGGTTTCAAATTAAGGTTTAAATGTATTAACCTATGAAATACCATGTTACAGTTACAAATCTACAATACTAGATCAAAGATCTTCCTGAAAGCAGCTCAAAGCCATGTAAATGTTGCCATTTTTACACATGTTGCCATTTTTACACATGAGTATGTTTTACACAGTTTATTGTCCTTTTCTCCTTGCAAAACTGATATCACTGTATTGCACTACTTCAAAATCATTACATTTCCAGGCTTGGCAAATACAGCATGCTGAATCTCTGCTTCAGTGGTCTTGCTTTTATTTATGTTCTGTAGTAAAAAAACAATTCTGAGTCAAGTTCTTCTTTCTAAAGCTGCATTTATAGGTAGGTTCCTGCGACATCACGGTTGGTGCATTCGTTTGTCTGTGCGTTCGGGTGTTAAGCTGTCCAGTGTTTTCTGTTTTTTTAATGTGCAGGTGTACCATGACTGCATGAAACACCATGCCTAACTGGGTGCGGTGTATTTGGATTATGGTCTCTATCATATAGATTTTCAGTGATTGTATTGTCTGGAGCACTGACTTAAACCTAGGAAGAATGGAGCTTAACTCACCCATTCCCAGGCAGTCCTTCTACTCCTACAGAGCTCCATCCACTGTATGAATGAATCAAACCACTCATATCCTGATATAAAACTCAGTCCAAAGAGGAAAAGAGGTAGGTGATGTCGCAGCCAAGAGCTCTCTCTTTTGCCCAGGGTCTGGACATGTATAAGTAACTCTTATATTGTCTATATTATTGCCCTATTAACTATCTGTAATCTAACGGCTTCAAAAAGAATGAAAAGAATCAAAGAATATCAATGAAAATGAAAAAGGACAAAAAGGAATGAACAAGACTTCAGCCGCTGAGTTCTTGTGGAAGGAAGGAAAAGGCCTTTGCTTTATTGAGCATCAAATTGCAAGATGGTTCCCGGTCAACCACAAGGTAATCTCCCCACCCCATTTACACTATTCCATACCATTTTAATCCCAATCATATCCAAACATTACACCTTTTTTGGTAACCTTTAAAACCAAATGCTTATGATGTCTTTTTTTTAAAAAATCCACTCTAGTGTAACTCTTACCAGGCTGTTCCCTCCTTACAGGGCCCTCTTGCGCAACTCTCCATAGGGCCATCTTACACAACTCACCATATATAAGTTTACCCCAACTATAACTTGTCATCTGGTATAACTCTCTTCTGTTAGTTCAGACGTTCACCCCTGTCAGAGAGTCCAATGCATACAGTCCATAGCCTGCTCCCCTATACTACCTTTTTAGGAGGGCTCTCTAGTCAACCAATGTTTTATTCAATCTTTTCCATCAGTGAGATGGGGTGCGGTGCAGACTCAGACTTTGCCCTTTCAAACCTCTACCCTTGAGTTGACTTGATACACGCTAATTGTCTTTCTGAGGAATCGTTAAGGGAGGCAAGTGTCTTTGCTTTGACTGAGACTTGGCTTGATGAATCTGTCCCGCACACTGAAGATAGCCTGTATGTGTTACGGGATGGAAGAGAGGAAAACCTGTGAGAAAGGGTCTTAAATGAATGAATAAGGTGATGGAGTGCAAATGGAGTGATTCTGCATGTTGGGGTTGAAGTGGCTCAGAGTCAGGTTCAAACCAATGTACTGAATGGCGATCCGAGCAGTTACTGCTGCGCCACCGGGAAGCACAGAGGAAAATGGGAAAAACGCCTCAGGAGACAGACAAAGGAGACGCTGAAAATCAAAAACAGTGTGCTCAAACAAAGGCTGAGCTAGAAAAGTAACATAAAAGATAATCAGAAAACAAAACTTTCTCTGTAATTATGAGAGGAAGATCAGTTTTATGTTTCACCTGTTTGTTCTTTGTAGAACAAACACTTTTTGTTTGGCTTGGAACCATTTCTTGTTTTAGCCTTCTTTTTGTTATAAGTAGTTTTGGGGCAATTCATTCTTTTTTCAGACCTCTCTTCTTATCTTTTCCTTTTTTTTCTTTTCTTAAGCAACACAGAGTACCGTACCGGTCACCCCTCTACAAAGGTGTGACAAAGGGCTGCTCTTTGCCATGGCCTTAGGTAGAGGAGTCCACAGGAGTGCCAGGTTGGCCCTAATCAGCCCAAGGGCTTCTGGGAATTGGAGTTCCCTGAACTGGTGGCGCCTCGCTGCCCTTGCCCTCTGCTGGACCCTTACAGTATGGCTTCAGGATCGTGAGGGCAGATATAACCAAAAACACAGTGTGCAGGTGGTGGAGTGCGCATGTACATCAACTCCCACTGGTGTATCAATCAAGGTATATGGGAAGGTCTGTAATCAGAACCTGGAGTTCCTCACACTGTCCACCTGAGCCTTTACCTCCCAAGGGAGTTCTCAACTGTTATGCTCAGCGGCGCATATATTTCAAAATGGACCAATGTCAAGGCAGCAGCTGAGCAAATAGCGCACAACATGCACACACTATGCTCAGCAAATACCCAGACATCACTGTGTTCCTCTACAGCAATATTTCTGGGGGCTAGTCAGCAAGAGCTCTTCCAATGCTAGGACTAGCATACCACAACCTCATCCACCTACATCCTGTTTGCAAACAACAGCTGAAACAGCACAGACCCATAAAACACAGCGCTCCCCAATGGTCAGAGGACACTGTTGCACTTCTTCAAGTCTGTTTTGCTTGCATGGACTGGGTTTTTGAGGGTGGGCTAGACGAGCAGATCTTGGTCATCACTGACAATATGAAATTATATATAGATTCTTTTATACAAAATCATCAGAACATATCCCATCTTAAAACCCTGGATCAACCCATAAATCAAATATCCTTTCAATGAGAAAAATATATGCTTTCAGGCAGGATGACTTTGTGGCACTTAAAGCTGTTAACAAGGATATCAAAAATGAAAGTCTTAAGACTGAAATGAACTATATAAACAAGCAAGGAAAGAAATCTGAAAAATATGAACCAAACAAGTCTTTCAGTATATAAGAACTCTCACCAGACAAGCTGTCAAGCAGTACACCAGACCCCATAACCTTTGCTTATAATCTCAACAACCTCTAGATCGAATTTAAAAATCTATTTATCTATGTTGGTACTGAAACACCGCCGTTCCGCATATGTGCAGATTTGACAGTTGTACATATCCAATGGTGGCATGCACTCACTGAAACTTTGCCATGATGATAAGATTACCAGTATAGCACTTACAGCTCTGGGATTTCTTCCCAGTGTGCAAGGCGATGGTGTTAGTCATCATATCCTAAAAGTGTTTTGAACACATGCCAATACTTGTAATATTGTGTTTTCTTTGAAGTTAAAGAACTAAGTTTATTCCACTGCTGTAGCCAATGGCAAAAGTTGGGAAAATTTAAATCTCAAAGGAATTTTCTACTTACTGCTGCAGTCAGTGTAACATTGCAACTATTCCATTAAAAACAATGAAGTATTCTGCCATCTTTTGCCTACTAAAAACATGGAAATACAGCATAACAGTTTGCTTTGCTGCCATACTCTATTTCTTAATCAAATTTACTGTCACATCATATCTCACAATAACTTCAATTCACTTTAATACTGACAATAATCAGTTATACATTTCAGCTCAACCAGACTAAGTGACACAGTTACACATAATGGAAGAATTTGTTAAAGTTTGTTTGACAATGCGTTACTTTACAGCCTGTTCAAACCACTTTGCTCAGTTAAGGCAGTCTACAAGCAAACTGCAAGGATCAATTACAGATATTTTGGTGTAAAATTATCTTCTTATATAGCTCCTAAATATTATGAATGCATGTGTGATGTGTGTTAACTGCATGAAAATCCACATTAAATATGTTTGTCTAATGTATTTGGGGCTCATTTTTGGGGCAGTATTTTTTCTTTTCTGTTTTTAAGTACATTCCTGCTTAAAGCTCTCTGAGATTCTGTAACTAAA